TCACCCCCAAAAAAAAGGGACCCAGGTGTCCGGGTGTCCCCACCCCCCCCTCCCAAAAAGGACCCGGGCGTCCGAGGGAGGTCACCTTGGGGCGGTTCCCCGGGGGGTATAAGGGGAGGTGGGGAGGGGACTGGGAAGCACTGGGAGGAACTGGGAGGCACTGGGAGGAACTGGGAGCTGCCGGAAGCCGCCATGGGGAAGGAGGTGAAGGGGAAGGAGATGATGGGGGAGATGGAGGAGAGATGGACACGTGGTGGGATGGAGAAGGGGTGGAAGGAGATGGGGGAGATGGAGGGATGGAGACATGGAGGAGGGATGGTGGGATGGAAGAAGATGGGGAAGATGGAGAGATGGTGGGATGGAAGGAGATGGAGGGGATGGAGAGATGGAAGAAGGATGGTGGGATGGAAGGATGGAAGAGGGATGGAGGGATGGAAGGAGATGGGGGAGATGGAGGGATGGAGGGATGGAGAGATGGAGGGATAGAGGAGGGATGGTGGGACGGAGGAGGGATGGTGGGATGAAAGGATGGAGGGATGGAAGGAGATGGGGGGGATGGAGAGATGGAGGAGGGATGGTGGAATGGAAGGATGGAGGAGGGATGGAGGGATGGAAGAGAGATGGAGAGATGGAGAGATGGTGGGATGGAGAGATGGAGGAGGGATGGTGGGACGGAGGAGGGATGGTGGGATGGAAGGAGATGGAGGGATGAAAGGAGATGGGGAGATGGAGGGCTGGAGAGATGATGGGACGGAGGAGAGATGGGGGGATGGTGGGATGGAGAAGGGAAGGAAGGATGGAGGAGGGATGGTGGGATGGGGGAGGGATGGAGGGAAGGAAGAGAGATGGAGGGATGGAGCGATGGGGGGATGGAGGAGAGATGGAGGGATGAAGGTGTGGAGAGATGGAGGAGAAATAGAGAGATGGAGGAGGGATGGAGCGATGGAGAGGTGGTGGGATGGAGGAGGGATGGTGGGATGGAAGGAGATGGGGAGATGGAGGGATGGTGGGACGGAGGAGAGATGGAAGGAGATGGAGGGATGGAGAGATGGAGGAGGGATGGTGGGATGAAAGGATGGAGGACGGATGGAGAGATGGAGGGATGGAGAGATGATGGGACGGAGGAGAGATGGGGGATGGTGGGATGGAGAAGGGAAGGAGGGATGGAAGAGGGATGGTGGGATGGAAGGAGATGGGGGAGATGGAGGGATGGAGAGATGGAGGAGGGATGGTGGGATGAAAGGATGGAGGACGGATGGAGAGATGGAGGGATGGAGAGATGATGGGACGGAGGAGAGATGGGGGATGGTGGGATGGAGAAGGGAAGGAGGGATGGAAGAGGGATGGTGGGATGGAAGGAGATGGGGGAGATGGAGGGATGGAGAGATGGAGGAGGGATGGTGGGATGGAGGAGGGATGGTGGGATGGAAGGAGATGGAGAGATGGAGGAGGGATGGTGGGATGGAAGGAGATGGGGGAGATGGTGGGATGGTGGGACGGAGGAGGGATGGAGGGATGGAGGGATGGAAGGAGATGGGGAGATGGAGGGCTGGAGAGATGGAGGAGGGATGGTGGGACGGAGGAGGGATGGAGGGATGGAGAGATGGAGGAGGGATGGTGGGATGAAAGGAGATGGGGGAGATGGAGAGATGGTGGGATGGTGGGACGGAGGAGGGATGGAGGGACGGAGGAGGGATGGAGGGATGGAAGGAGATGGGGGAGATGGAGGGCTGGAGGGCTGGAGGAGGGATGGAGGGATGGAAGGAGATGGGGGGGATGGAGAGATGGAGGAGGGATGGTGGGACAGAGGAGGGATGGTGGGATGAAAGGATGGAGGAGGGATGGAGGGAAGGAAGAGAGATGGAGGGATGGTGGGACAAAGGAGGGATGGAGCGATGGGGGGATGGAGGAGAGATGGAGGGATGAAGATGTGGAGAGATGGAGGAGAAATAGGGAGATGGAGGAGGGATGGTGGGATGGAGGAGGGATGGAGAGATCATGGGATGGTGGGACAGAGGAGGGATGGTGGGATGGAGGAGGGATGGAGGAGGGATGGTGGGACAGAGGAGAGATGGAGGGATGAAGATGTGGAGAGATGGAGGAGAAATAGAGAGATGGAGGAGGGATGGAGCGATGGAGAGGTGGTGGGACAGAGGAGGGATGGAAGAAGGATGGACACCTGGTGGGATGGAGAAGGGGTGGAGAGATGGAGGAGACATGGAGAAGTGGTGGGATGGAAGAGGGATGGAGGGATGGAGAGAGGGAGGAGAGACGGAGAGGTGGTGGGACGGAGGAGGGATGGAGAAGGGTTGGAGGGATGGGGAGATGGAGGAGAGATGGAGAGTTGGTGGGATGGAGGAGGGATGGAGGAAGGATGGAGGAAGGATGGACACCTGGTGGGATGGAGAAGGGGTGGAGAGAGATGGAGGGGGGATGGTGGGATGGAGGAGGGATGGAGAGATCATGGGATGGTGGGACAGAGGAGGGATGGTGGGATGGAGGAGGGATGGAGGAGGGATGGTGGGACAGAGGAGAGATGGAGGGATGAAGATGTGGAGAGATGGAGGAGAAATAGAGAGATGGAGGAGGGATGGAGCGATGGAGAGGTGGTGGGACAGAGGAGGGATGGAAGAAGGATGGACACCTGGTGGGATGGAGAAGGGGTGGAGAGATGGAGAAGGGATGGAGAAGCGGAGGAGGATGGAGAGATGGAGGAGAAATAGGGAGATGGAGGAGGGATGGTGGGATGGAGGAGGGATGGAGAGATCATGGGATGGTGGGACAGAGGAGGGATGGTGGGATGGAGGAGGGATGGAGGAGGGATGGTGGGACAGAGGAGAGATGGAGGGATGAAGATGTGGAGAGATGGAGGAGAAATAGAGAGATGGAGGAGGGATGGAGCGATGGAGAGGTGGTGGGACAGAGGAGGGATGGAAGAAGGATGGACACCTGGTGGGATGGAGAAGGGGTGGAGAGATGGAGGAGACATGGAGAAGTGGTGGGATGGAAGAGGGATGGAGGGATGGAGAGAGGGAGGAGAGACGGAGAGGTGGTGGGACGGAGGAGGGATGGAGAAGGGTTGGAGGGATGGGGAGATGGAGGAGAGATGGAGAGTTGGTGGGATGGAGGAGGGATGGAGGAAGGATGGAGGAAGGATGGACACCTGGTGGGATGGAGAAGGGGTGGAGAGATGGAGAAGGGATGGAGAAGCGGAGGAGGATGGAAAGGTGGTGGGATGGAGGGATGGAGGAGGGATGGAGATGTGGAGAGATGGAGGAGAAATAGAGAGACGGATGGTGGGACAGAGGAGAGATGGTGGGATGGAGAGATGGAGGAGGGATGGAGGATGGTGGGACGGTGGAGAGATGGAGAGAGATGGGGGGGGTGGAGAGATGGAGGAGGGATGGTGGGACAGAGGAGGGATGGTGGGATGAAAGGATGGAGGAGGGATGGAGGGAAGGAAGAGAGATGGAGGGATGGTGGGACAAAGGAGGGATGGAGCGATGTGGGGATGGAGGAGAGATGGAGGGATGAAGATGTGGAGAGATGGAGGAGAAATAGGGAGATGGAGGAGGGATGGTGGGATGGAGGAGGGATGGAGAGATCATGGGATGGTGGGACAGAGGAGGGATGGTGGGATGGAGGAGGGATGGAGGAGGGATGGTGGGACAGAGGAGAGATGGAGGGATGAAGATGTGGAGAGATGGAGGAGAAATAGAGAGATGGAGGAGGGATGGAGCGATGGAGAGGTGGTGGGACAGAGGAGGGATGGAAGAAGGATGGACACCTGGTGGGATGGAGAAGGGGTGGAGAGATGGAGGAGACATGGAGAAGTGGTGGGATGGAAGAGGGATGGAGGGATGGAGAGAGGGAGGAGAGACGGAGAGGTGGTGGGACGGAGGAGGGATGGAGAAGGGTTGGAGGGATGGGGAGATGGAGGAGAGATGGAGAGTTGGTGGGATGGAGGAGGGATGGAGGAAGGATGGAGGAAGGATGGACACCTGGTGGGATGGAGAAGGGGTGGAGAGATGGAGAAGGGATGGAGAAGCGGAGGAGGATGGAAAGGTGGTGGGATGGAGGGATGGAGGAGGGATGGAGATGTGGAGGGATGGAGGAGAAATAGAGAGACGGATGGTGGGACAGAGGAGAGATGGTGGGATGGAGAGATGGAGGAGGGATGGAGGATGGTGGGACGGTGGAGAGATGGAGAGATGGGGGGATGGAGGAGAGATGGAGGGATGAAGATGTGGAGAGATGGAGGAGAAATAGAGAGATGGAGAAGGGATGGAGCGATGGAGAAGTGGTGGGACGGAGGAGAGATGGAGGAAGGAAGGACACCTGGTGGGATGGAGAAGGGGTGGAGAGATGGAGAAGGGATGGAGCGATGGAGAAGTGGTGGGACGGAGGAGGGATGGAGGGATGGGGGGACAGAGGAGAGATGGGGGGATGGAGATGTGGAGAGATGGAGGAGAAATAGAGAGACGGATGGTGGGACAGAGGAGAGATGGTGGGATGGAGGAGAGATGGAGGAGGGATGGAGGGATGGTGGGACAGAGGAGAGATGGGGGGATGAAGATGTGGAGAGATGGAGGAGAGATGGAGAGATGGAGGAGGGATGGAGCGATGGAGAGGTGGTGGGACGGAGGAGGGATGGAGGAAGGATGGAGGAAGGATGGACACCTGGTGGGATGGAGAAGGGGTGGAGAGATGGAGAAGGGGTGGGACAGAGGAGAGATGGGGGGATGGTGGGATGGAGAAGGGAAGGAGGGATGAAGATGTGGAGAGATGGAGGAGAAAGAGATGGATGGTGGGACAGAGGAGGGATGGAGGGATGGAGAGATGGAGGAGGGATGGAGAGATGGAGGAGGGATGGTGGGACAGAGGAGAGATGGAGGGATGAAGATGTGGAGAGATGGAGGAGAAATGGAGAGATGGAGAGGTGGTGGGATGGAGGAAGGATGGAGGAAGGATGGACACCTGGTGGGACAGAGAAGGGGTGGAGGAGGGTCGGGGGGATGGAGGAGACCTAGAGAGACGGAGGAGAAATGGAGGGATGAAAGGATGGAGGGGGGTTGGAGGCTGGAGGGATGGAGAGGGCTGGTGGGACAGAGGGATGGAGATGTGGGGAGATGGAGAAGGGATGGAGAAGAGGAGGAGGATGGAAAGTGGTGGGATGGAAGGACGGAGGAGGGATGGAGATGTGGGGAGATGGAGGAGAAATAGAGAGATGGAGGAGGGATGGAGGGATGGAGCGATGGAGATGGAGAGGTGGTGGGATGGAGAAAGGATGGACACCTGGTGGGATGGAGAAGGGGTGGAGAGATGGAGAAGGGATGGAGAAGCGGAGGAGGATGGAAAGGTGGTGGGATGGAGGGATGGAGGAGGGATGGAGATGTGGAGAGATGGAGGAGAAAGAGAGATGGAGGAGGGATGGAGGAGAGATGGAGGATGGTGGGACGGAGGAGAGATGGAGGGATGAAGATGTGGAGAGATGGAGGAGAAATAGAGAGATGGATGGTGGGACAGAGGAGGGATGGAGAAGGGTTGGAGGGATGGAGGGATGGAGGATGGTGGGACGGTGGAGAGATGGAGAGATGGGGGGATGGAGGAGAGATGGAGGGATGAAGATGTGGAGAGATGGAGGAGAAATAGGGAGATGGAGGAGGGATGGTGGGATGGAGGAGGGATGGAGAGATCATGGGATGGTGGGACAGAGGAGGGATGGTGGGATGGAGGAGGGAGGGATGGGGGGACAGAGGAGAGATGGAGGGATGAAGATGTGGAGAGATGGAGGAGAAATGGAGAGATGGAGAGGTGGTGGGATGGAGGAAGGATGGAGGAAGGATGGACACCTGGTGGGACAGAGAAGGGGTGGAGGAGGGTCGGGGGGATGGAGGAGACCTAGAGAGACGGAGGAGAAATGGAGGGATGAAAGGATGGAGGGGGGTTGGAGGCTGGAGGGATGGAGAGGGCTGGTGGGACAGAGGGATGGAGATGTGGGGAGATGGAGAAGGGATGGAGAAGAGGAGGAGGATGGAAAGTGGTGGGATGGAAGGACGGAGGAGGGATGGAGATGTGGGGAGATGGAGGAGAAATAGAGAGATGGAGGAGGGATGGAGGGATGGAGCGATGGAGATGGAGAGGTGGTGGGATGGAGAAAGGATGGACACCTGGTGGGATGGAGAAGGGGTGGAGAGATGGAGAAGGGATGAAGAAGAGGAGGAGGATGGAAAGGTGGTGGGATGGAAGGATGGAGGAGGGATGGTGGGACAGACGGATGGAGATGTGGGGAGATGGAGAAGGGACGAAGAAGAGGAGGAGGATGGAAAGTGGTGGGATGGAAGGATGGAGGAGGGATGGTGGGATGGAGGAAGGATGGACAGAAGGACGGACAGAAGGTGGCACAAGGTGACGGGGAAGATGGAGATGGGCCACGGGAGGGATGGACGGATGGACAGACACCACACACACCCCCTGACCCTTGACCTCTGACCTCTGCCCCCCAGGAGAGCTATGAGTTGGGGCCCCGGGGCAAGGCCCCGCCCCCGGCGCCCAAGGGTCGTGGTCGCCACAAGCAGGAGAAGCTGGAGGACATGAAGAAGGAGATGGATGTGGTATGGGGGGGGAACTGGGAGGGACTGGGAGGGTCAACGGGGGGCACTGGGAGGTCAACTGGGGGGAGCGGGAGGTCAACAAGGGGGACTGGGGGTCAATGGGGGACACTGGAAGGTCAACGAGGGGGGCAGGGAGGTCAACCGAGGGACTGGGGGGTCAACAAAGGGGACTGGGAGGGACTGGGGGTCAATGGGGGGCACTGGGAGGTCAAATGGGGGGA